CTGGGATCTTTTGTGCTTCCATATGAATCTTAGAATTTTTTTTCCAATTCTGTGAAGAATGTCATGGGGATTTTGATTGGCATTGCATTGAATCTATAAATGGCTTTTGGTAGGATGGTCATTTTCACAATATTAGTTCTTCCAATCCATGAACATGGGAGGTCCTTCCATCTTCTGGTGTCTTCCTCAATCTCTTTCTTTAAAGATCTAAAATTTTCATTTTAGAGGTCTTTAATATCTTTAGTCAGATTTATTCTGAGATTTTTCTGAGGCTATTGTGAAAGGGGGTGTTTCCATGTACTCTTTCTCTGACTACTTGTTAGCAGTATATAGAAAGGCTACTGACTTTTATAGATTACTTTTGTAGCTGGCCACTTTACTGAAATGCTAATCATTTCTGGGAATTTTCTAGTGGAATTTTTGGCATTTCTTATATATAATAGCATATCATCAAAAAATGGATAATTTGACCTCTTTCTTTCCAATTAGTACTCCTTTAGTTTCCTTCTCTTGTCTTATTGCTCTTGCAAGAGTTTCAACCACAATATTAAAAAGGAGTAGAGATAGTGGACAGCCTTGTCTGATTCCTGATTTTATTGGGAATACTTCCAGTTTTTCTCCATTTAGAATGATGTTGGCTGTGAGTTTGCTGTATATAGCTTTAATTATGTTGAGGTATGTTCCCTCTAGGACTTCGAATATAAATGTATATTGAATTTTGTCAAAGGCCTTCTCTGCATCTATTGAAATGACCATGTGGTTCTTTTCTTTGAGTTCATTTATATGATTTGTGATGTTTATTGACTTTCCTATATTGAACCATCCCTGTGTCTCTGGAATAAAGCCTACTTGATTGTGGTGGATGATCTTTTTGATGTGTTCTGTATGTGGTTTAAAAGTATTTTGTTGAGAATTTTTGCATCTATGCTCATTAAGGATATGGATCTATAGTTTTGTCTTTGGGTTGTAGCTTTACCTGGTTTTGGTATTAGAGTGACACTGGTTTCATAGAAGGAATTTGAAAGTTCTCCCTCTGTTTCTACCTTTTTGAATAAATTAAGTAGTATTGGATATAGATCTTTAAATGTCTGGTAGAATTCTGGTGTATATCCATCTGGTCCTGAGTTTTTGTTAATAAAGAGGTTTGTATTACTGTTTCAATTTCCTTATATGTTATGGGTCTGTTTAAGTTGTTGATCTCTTCTTGGTTTATAGTGATTCCCATGATTTTAGATACCAATTCATTTCTTTTAGGTTTTCAAATTTAATAGCATATAGGCTTTTAAAATACTCCCTTATAATGTTCTGGATCTTTTTGGTGTCTGTTGTGATGGTTCCTCTTTCATCTCTGATTCTGTTAATTTGGAAGTAATCTTTCTTTCTTTTGGTTAACTGGGCCAGGGGTCTGTCAACCTTGTTTATCTTTTCAAAGAACCAGCTCTTAGATTCATTGATTCTTTGTATTGTCTTCTTTGTTTCTATTTCATTAATTTCTGCTGTGATTTTTGTTATTTCTTATCTGCTGGGTTTGAGTTTCATTTGTTCTCGCCTTTCCAGAGTCTTGAGTTGTACATTTAACTCATTTATTTGTGTTGTGTCTGATATTTAATGTAGGCACCTGGAGCTATAAACTTCCCTCTTAGAACTGCTTTTAAAGTGTCCCTGAAGTTGTGTTTTGTTGTATTGTACTTTTCATTGAATTCCAGGAATTCTTTTATTTCTTAATTTCTCCTTTGACACACTCATTATTTAGGAGTGTGTTGTTTAATCACCATGACTTCGTGTAGTAACTAGGGCTTTGTCTGGTGTTAGTTACTAGAGTTTCTTCCAGTGTTTATTTTAAGCTTTATTGCATTGTGGTCTGAAAGAATGCATGGAATTATATCAACTTTTTTGTATTTGTTGAGGTTTGTTTTGTGCTCCAATATATGGTCGATTTTGGAGAAAGTTCCATGGGGCACTGAATAGAAAGTATATTCTTTGGTGCTTGGGTGGAATATTTGGAGATGTCTGTTAGGCTCATTTGATGTATGGTATTTTTAATTCCGATGTCTCTCTTTTAATTCTCTGTCTCGTTGACCTATCTAATGGAGACAATGGGGTATTGAAGTCCCTTACTATTAATGTGTTGGGATTAATCTGGGTTTTAAAGTCCTATAATACTGTTTTTATGAAGTTGGATGCACCAGAGTTTGATGAATATATGTTCATGATTGTAATATCTTCTTGGTCAATTGTTCCTTTGATCAGAATGAAGTGACCCTCCTTATCTCTTCTGATTAGTTTTACTTTGAAGTCTGTTTTGTCAGATATTAGTATTGCAACTCCTTTTTTTTGAAGAATCATTTGCTTAGAATATTTTTTTCCATCCTTTCACCTTAAGGTAGTGCCTGTCCTTGAAAGTGAGATGGGTTTTTTGCAGACAACAAAAAGATGGGTTTTCTTTCTTAATCCATTCACCTAGCCTTTGTCTTCTGACTGGGGAGTTCAATCCATTGATATTTAAAGTTATTAATGAAAGATGTGTGTTGATTCCTGTCATTTTTATTTCTGTTTGCATTCTTGATCTAGCCATGTGTTTCCATTGTTATGCCTTCATTTAGTCTCTTTCTGTTGCCCCTTGGGTATAGTCATTCCTTTCTTCAGCTCTTTGTATTGCTTCAAGAACTCTCTGAAGGGCTAACGGTTTTGTGGACATGAATTCTTTCAGCCTCTTTATATCATGGAAGATTTTTCTTTCCCCTTCAACTATAATAAACATTTTGGCTTGGTAAAGTATTCTAGGTTGGAATCTGTCTGCATTTAGAACTGGGAATACTTTGATCCAGGCTCTTCTGGCTTTAAGTCAGCTGTAATTCTGATGGGCTTTCCTCTATATGTGAGTTATTGTTTTTCTTTTGCAGCTTTCAGTATCCTCTTTGTTCTGTATTTTTAGTGTTTTACTATGATGTGCTGTGGGGAGTTTCTTTTCTGGTCCTGTCTTCTTTTCTGGTTTTCTTTGTGCTTCTTGTATTTATATGGGCACATCTTTCTTTAATTTGGGGAAATTTTCTTCTACAGTGCTGTTGAAGATCTGGTCCATACCATTATCCTGAGATTTGTCTCCTTCCTCTATGCCTACGACGCATAAATTTGGTCTTTTTATGGTGTCACACATTTCCCATATATTCCATTCTTGTGTTTTCTTAAATTTTTCATAATCTTTTCTTGAGCAGTCTAAATTGTCACCTTTATCTTCCAGTCTTGATATTCTGTTTTCCATTTCATTCATTCTATTGGTGAAGCTTTCTCCTTTCGTTTCTAATTGGCTTACTGAATATTCCACTTCCTTCTTCATTACAGCCTGGGTATTCGTCAGTATTTCTAACTTTTCTGAGTTCACTCAGAAGTTTATCCTTATCTTCTTTCAATTCTGTGATTTCTGTGTTTGTGTGTTCTTTAAATTCATTGAATTCTTTTATCATAATTATAATTGTTCTTCTGAATTCCATTTCCTGTGTTATGTCTAGGGGGTTCTCACTGTACTCCTCTACAGGACTGTTGGTACTTTGTGGGGACATAATTATTTGTGTTTTTCATGTTATTATTTTTTCACTGTGATTTTGGCATGTGGATTTCTTTTGTAATTTCTGATTCCTGTGTGAGACTCAAGCTTTCCTTTGTTGAGTTTAGGTCTGTTTTTGTTTATACACTTTATGTGCCTTTGTTGTTTACTTGTTGGGTATGAAAAGGTGATTGGTCTAGGCTTAAGGGTCTCCCTTTTGATTTTATAGTGGAGGGACAAGATGGCTTTAGTCCTGCTGCTTAGGAGTTCCCACTGATGTCCAAATAGTGGGAGGATCAGATGCTCACAGGATTCCTCCTAAGGTCTGGATCCCTCTACTCAGCAGGCACAGTACACTTTGGGAGGCTTGCTTGGTAGAGGTAGGATTCAGGACTCTCAGGCAATTAGGGAATGAGGCTGGTCTCAGGAATCCAGGGCAAGCAGGGAAGGAGGATGGTCTCAGGAATCCCAGGCAGGTTGGGGGTGGGAACAGCCAGAGATGAAGGCTGAAAGTTAAGTTGGGGGTGGGGGCAGGCTGTGAGGGTTCTAGGAAACTGGACTGAACAATTGGATTGGTCTGAGTGCAAAGGATCAGGAAACAGTGGGGAGTCTGGGCCAAGAGGTTAATCTAGAGGTCTGGGGTGCCAAGTGATGAGGTGGGCCAGTGCCCACCCTAGAAGGAGAAAGGGAATGTGAGGGCTGGGAGTTTAAATCAGGTTGTGGGAGTCAAGACCCAATAGACGGGGTCAAACTTGCCAGGAATCCCAGGCAGGTTAGGGGTGGGACAGCCAGGGATGAAGGCTGGTCTCACGTGTGCAAAGGCAAGGTGGGGGAGAGTAAAGGTTCTGAGGGCTCCAGGGGACTAGACTGAAGAATTGGGCAGGTCTGGGTGCAAAGATTCAGGAAGCCGTAAGGAGTCTGAGCCAAGAGGGTAGTCCAGACATCTGGGGTGCCAAGAGAAGAGGAGGGCCAGTGCCCATGCAGGGAAGCCTTTAATTTTTATCTCAGCTTCTTCTAGCCCATAGTTTATTAGGTTTGATCTCTTAATTGTATCCCGTAATTCCTGGGCATTGAAGTCATGCACATTTATATTTGTGAATTTCTGGTGTTCTTTATCTCTTTGAAATAGAGTCTGTTTTTTCTTCCCCTTCACCACACCCCCCGGAGTGTCATCTGACCTGAAAGTCCCCTTTCTTTTACTTAAGTGTTCCAATGAGCGACCCTGAAACATGAAACAGGTTAAACACTTTCCAATGAATCATAACATTAAGGAACATCCTCTTCCTTGATAGACACACATTGGATATAGAAAATTATGTAAATACCAACAAGGAAATGCCTTTCTGATTGGTCTAAACATTGGAGGTCTGATGTATAAAAGACCCAGACTATAAGAGTTCCCCATATTCTAGAAAACTCCCCTGTAAACAGGATCTCACCCTCCACATCTGACACCATGACCACCCCCTCCTGCTGCTCCCCTTGCTGCCAGCCCACCTGCTGCAGAACCACCTGCTGTAGAACCACCTGCTGGAAGCCAACCTGTGTGACCAGCTGCTGCCAGCCCAGCTGCTGTGGGTCCAGCTGCTGCCAGCCTTGCTGTCAAACCTCCTGCTGTAGGACCAGCTTCCAACCAAGCTGTGTGACCAGCAGCTTCCTCACTCCCTGCTGCCAGCCCTGCTGCTGTGAGCCCAGCTGCTCCCAGCCCTGCTGCCAGCCCAGCTGCTGTGAGCCCAACTGCTGTGAGCCCAGCTGCTGTGAGCCCAGCTGCTGCCAGCCCTGCTGCTGTGAGCCCAGCTGCTGCCAGCCCTGCTGCCAGCCCAGCTGCTGTGAGCCCAACTGCTGTGAGCCCAGCTGCTGTGAGCCCAGCTGCTGCCAGCCCTGCTGTCCCTCAACCTGCTGTGAAACCACCTGCTGTAGGACCACCTGCTGTAAACCAACCTGTGCGATCAGCTGCCGCTGCCAGCCTTGCTGTACCCCCAGTTGCTGCAGCACACCCTCCTGCCAGCCCAGCCGCTGCGAACCCAGCTGCTGCCAGCCCTGCTGCATCCCCAGTTGCTGTAGCACACCCTGCCGCCAGCCCAGCTGCTGCAAGCCCTGCTGCCAACCAACATGCTGCAGGACCATCTGTTCTGAGCCAACTCGTGTGACCACCTGTTACACAACATCCTGCTGCAAGCCCTGTTGCTGTGTGTCTAGCTGCTGCCAGCCCTGCTGCTGACCAACTTCAAATAAACAGCACCTGCACAGCCACACTTCTCTCACACAGACTTCACCATATGGGCATGAGCTCACATCTTACCTCTGCTGAAAAGCACGAGAACATCAACTGTTTTTAAACATATGAGTCACCTGATAAAATACAAATTTACTCATTCTCTCTCCTTTTCTTGCAACATTACAGATCATGTTCCAGCTTCATGGAGAGCTGTGGAGGAATGTCCTCTCCGATTCTGAACCAATATCTTTAACTTTCCCTCAAAAGCACTTTAAGTTTTTTTTTTTTAGAAATTCACGTAACCGACCAATGATCTGTATAATCAGGTTTTCTTCTGCTGTGTTCTCTAGATTCATAAACTTCCTTTCTCTTTCCTGCTCACTTTTGAAAATGTCTCTCTAGAAGCAAGCAACTCTAATAAATATAAATTCTACGCTATTATTTTTCCATATGGTCTGTCTTTATTATATTTTGATAAATCACTTGATAGGAGAGCTACGTGTTCAACAATGTTTATTGTGCGATATGATACACAATACACACGCACACGTACACACACATTTGGCACAATGTTCTCCAACAGATATCTGAAAGTTTTTCATAGCTAGAAGTTAATACCCAATGAATATCAATTCCCTATTTGCTCCTACCCCGTTCCCTGGAAACCACCCTTTTGTTCTATCCTTCTCTGACTTTGACTTTCAGAAACATTATCTGAATAGAATTACACAGAATTGGTTCATCGTATTTTCTTCATTAACTTATTGTTGATGGGCATCTTGGTTGCTCACACATCTTATCTATCGTTAATACACTTGTGTGAACATGGGAGCACTGATAGTTCGGATTGTCCTGTAAATAACCAGAAGTAGCCTCTGAAAATGGTTCACTGCTCTTGACCCAGAAAACCCCATAAAATCACATAATTCAAGAGGTTCAAACCCTTGTGTTCACTTTAACAACATCGATGAAACTAACAAGTGATACAGTGGTGAAGTGGATAGAGGTGCCTGCGCCAAACAGTAGAGAGGGACTCAGGGTCAGTGATTTAAAAAGAATTCTGGATTTGGGCTGCAGATGTTTAAAAATGAAAATTAAATAAAGAGCAATGTTAAACATAAGCATTTAAATATGGATTCTCTGGTTATTAAACATATCTAAACATACCCAAGAAGGACCATGGTACTTAGAGAATTCATGGTCAGATTAACCTATACATGAGCTCCCCAGCCGTGTGGAAATTGTCCTCTCTAAAAAAAGAGGCTTGTTCCCAAGTCAAAAGAGGAAGTTTCATAGATATCAAAAGATATTCCAAAAGAAATTGAAACAAAAACTTAAGGTGCAGGAGTAAATTCACCATAAAATAAATGCAAATAAAAGTTTATAAAAGAAAAAAAGAAGGCTAGCTAGGGAGACTGACTCAATAAAGTGCTTGCTAAGTACGTATGAGGACCTGAGTTCAGATGTCCAGCACCTACATAGGAAGCAAGCATTGCAGCACATGTCTGTAACCATAACATTCTTGGGACTTGCTGGCCAGCCAGTCTAGCTGAATCAGTGAGCCCCAGGTTCAGTGAGAGACCCTCTTCAAAGAGATGAAGGTGGAGAGTGATAGAGGAAAACAGTTAATGTTGATCTCTGGCCCCTACCTGCAAACACATCCATGTACACATCCACACACATGTGCACATGCCCACATGTGCATATACATACATAGCCCCCACAAAAGTTTTTTTAATATTACAAATTTAGAGTATGGGTCCTTGGAAAGCACTCCTATATTAAAACTCACCCACCTAGGGCTCCGGAACCATTGCAGAAGAGGACGTGGAAAGATTGTAAAAGCCAGGAAGGAGGTGTATGACCAAATGTAAATAGAGTCCTACAGGCTCCTGGGACCCTTCTCATACGAACCTACAGCAACGGTGTCAGCATGCACAAGACCCATGCAAACTCAAGCAGACAAAAACCCAGCACAGAACTGTGGAAATGGACAGCAGGCCCCAATCATCGAGGAAGGATTATTGGCAGTTGATGACTTCCGGGTGAGGAAGAGCTGATCTTCTTAAAGGGACAGACTCTAGATAGGCTGACTAGACCTCAGTTAATGAAGCTGCACTGAGACGTCTGGGGACACTAACACGACATGATAGGCCTTAACACAGGTGACAGAGTGTATGAATTACAGCGGGGGGGCTACAGGAGGGGCCAATGGGGAAGGGGGTATAAAGATGATTAAGATGTTCTGTATGAAATACACACAAATTCAATAAAGGATTTTTAAAATATATTACATTTTTAATCATTTTGTGTAAGTATCCTGAAGGGTAGCTGCTGCGAGATTAGGTATGTCTATTTTTTAATTTTTTTAAGGAATCTCCATAATTTTCCCTGTAACCGCTGTGCCATTTTTTATTCCTAGTGATGGATAAAGGTTCCTATTTCTCCACATTCTTATCCGTACTTTTGTCTTCCATTTTTCTAATAATTGACAGATAAAACATTTCAATCTTGCAATTATTCTAATGTCAAATAATGGTCCAATGTTTAGTGACATCTATACTGTCAAGGCAAGAGGCATGATGTGTCCAGTAAGCGGGAAGATGGAGGGGAAGTGTCCTTCCCTTCCCTTGTGCTCACAGTGGTTCCCTTGACTCCAAAATTCCAGAGCGCACCACCTGGTTATTTTAATAAAAATACACATTCATTTCCACAAAATCCCCAGCTAGGATGATGTCTGCTTCCTAATCTTGAGGTCACTCCTTCTCTTGAAGTTGCCTTTGCACAACTGGTTCTATTTCTGCATATGCCAGTTCTACTTTCAAAGGGTAATCAAAATTTTCTTGATATCTGGCCCTAGGACACCTGAGCACAAAGTCCAAATGGTGACATTTCTTACTTATCTACTCTTACCTCTTGAATAGTCTTGAACCCGGAGAAATAATCTCCTCTTTGGTAACCAGGTTTCTCTTTCAGACATGACATCTCTCCAGTGAGTTACATAGACATATAGGACCTTGGCTTTTCCTGGGAAACTGGATGCATATTGAAACCAGGAAAAATAGGTTTCTACACAAAGGATGTCATGCTGACCTGCTCTTCACCACAGATTTATTACCATCTCATTGTAATACATTACCTTAATGAAATGTCTGTCTGACAAGGTTAGTTTAGTCTCCACTTCACACATGGACTTGACATCTTCCCTTAAAAGTTCAGGAACTTGGGGCTGGAGAGATGGCTCAGTGGTTAAGAGTACTGGCTGCTCTTTCAGAGCCTGGGCTTAGTTTCCAGGATACACATGGCAGCTAACAATCATCTTATAACTCCAGTTCCAGGGGATGCCACACCTTTTTCTGGCTTCATGAGCATTGTATGCATGGGTACACTTACATACATGCAGGTGAAACACTCTTCCACATTAAAAAAATAAATTTAAAAGATTAAGGAAAAGTTTTAGAACTCCTACTCACTATCTCAACTACTCCTTTCCCCATTTATCCTCAAAGCAACTTCATCCAGTCATTTCTCCCTTCTCCTCATCTCCAGCAAAAAACAAAATTTCTGTCACAATTCAATGGGATGGTTTATCAATATCATCAGTCAACAATGAGTTTGGTTATAGCTGAGCACAGTGGCCCATACATTAAGGTGTGAACAAATGCAATTACTTTGACGAAGAGCAGAGGGCAATCAAGACTGCTCAGTGCTGAGCGTGAGATGGCTGTCTTGTGAGACAAGGGAAGAAAGAAAGAAAAGAGAAAAGAAAAGACAGAAATGTTTTGTTTTTCCCCATTTAGTATAAAAATTGCTACAGCTGTGGCCTATGTAGCCTTTATTGCTCTGAGGTATGATTCTTGTATTCCTAACATCTCCAGGATGCATTTGACACACCAGAGACACAGGGGTAGATCTGGTACAAAGACAGATAGCTAACTAGTGTGGAGTCAGGCTTTGGTGGACAAACCAAGCACTGGGCATTTGGCTTACCAGTGTGATCACAGCATCAGTGCATCCATCTCCATGACTACATCCTAATAGGTAGACAAGGAAATACAGAAGCAAAGCGGACCCTCTAATTGAGCAGGTGGGAACACATGACCAGATGTGATGTCTTAATGAAGTTGATGCTGTGAGCCCTTCCTTTTTTATGATTCTTTTGTTTTGTTTTTTATTGAATTTTTATAATTTTGATACAATAAATTTTGATGGTATTTAGATCCCCTCTCCTATCACCACTATAATAAGGCCTTTAGAGTCAAATTTGTGTCTCCTAATGTCCTTCAGTGTGGGTCCATGCACTGGAACCAGGTTAACTTATCAAGAATCCCACGTTTGAAAGAAATTGCCTCTACCCCTGCTAACAGCCATTTGTTGCCACAGTTTGCTTAGATGGGATTGGAACTTCATAAACACTTCCTCGTGTCTATGCTGGGGTCTTTTGTAGTTTGAGTTTGCATGGGATTTGTGCATGTTGCCACCATTGCTGTGAGTTCATATGAGCTACTGATCAGCTGCCTAGAAAACTCTGCTTCCTTGTGGTCATCCATCACATCTGCCTCTTACAAACTTTCGGAGAACTTAAAGCTAGTTTTCTATTAAATGGTCATTGTACTAAAGTGATTCTTAATGACATATTACTATACACATAGATGAATGTATCTCTCAACTCACAAGAGAAGTTTCCTTATGCAACGGAGAGTGATTAACACAGAGACCCACAACTGGCCAAAATGTAGAGAACAAGAGACTGCGGAGTACTTCTCCCTGAATAAGACACATATAGCAAACTTCCAAGGCTCAGGAATCATTGCAAATCCTTCTTTTGTTTGAAAAAGTTCCTGTGTGCTATTCCCAAATAGAAGCAAAATAAATACTTTCAAAGATTCATAAAGTTAAGGAAAAATTCTTCCTTGATAAACAAAAATTGAATATGGAAAATGATGTAAACAAGAAAAATTCTGATTGGCCCAAACCTACCTGACCTGATATACAAAAGGCCCATACAGAAGAAAGTCATCATATTCTGGAAACTCCCCTGTGAACAGAACCCCACCCCCACATCTGACACCGTGACCACCTCCTGCTGCTCCCACCTGCTGCAGGACCACCTGCTGGAAGCCAACCTGTGGGTCCAGCTGTTGCCAGCCCTGCTGCGCCCCAACCTGCTGTGAAACCACCTGCTGCAGGACCACCTGCTGTAAACCAGTATGTGAGACCAGCTGCTGCTGCACACCCTGCTGCCAGCCCTGCTGCAGCCCAACCTGCTGTGTAACCACCTGCTACAAAACCACCTGCTACAAGCGAACCTGTGCTCCCACCTGCTGCCAGCCCTGCTACATCCCCAGCTGCTGCAGCACATCTTGCTGCCAGCCCTGCTACATCCCCAGCTGCTGCAGCACATCCTGCTGCCAGCCCTGCTACATCCCCAGCTGCTGCAGCACATCCTGCTGCCAGCCCTGCTACATCCCCAGCTGCTGCAGCACATCCTGCTGCCAGCCCTGCTACATCCCCAGCTGCTGCAGCACATCCTGCTGCCAGCCCTTCTTCCAACCAACTTGCTACAAAACCACCTGTGCAAGACCACCTGCTGTAAACCAACCTGTGGGACCAGTTGCTGCTGCACACCCCGCTGCCAGCCCAGCTGCTGCCGATCAGCTCCTCAGCAGACAAACATCTGCACAACCTTCACAAATTTGCTTCTTTCGGTGAAAACCATTAAGCTATCACCAGTAATTCTGGTCATCATCAGTTTTTATTCTAACATACAGATGGCCTCGAGGGAATGCAGAGTTCTTATTTTCTCTCTCTTCCTGGTCTTGCAGATCTCAGACCAGCTTCTTGAATAAATGATATGGAAATTTAGCTTCAGCTTAAATTCTTAGCGAAGATCTTCACCCCTTCCTCCATTTAACTTAGGAAAGCACTTCCACTACAAATGTCAGCGCTTCATGCATTTTCATAATCACGTTAGTCTACATGAACTTAATACTTTACTTTCTCCTTCCTGTCACTTTGAACTCTCTCCTAAAATGTATTCAGCCTTCATAAATTATTAATAAATTATGCAGCACATTTCATTCTATGTTGTCTGTGCTTATTATACTGTGGTAAACTCATTTGATATGAAATCTACATAATCAATTTCCAAGTGTACAATATGTTGTCACTTTCTCATACACAGAAGGCACAGTGTTGCAGAGACCTCTGGGAGTTACTTATCTTGCATACCTGAAACGTAAGACCCAGTGATTACCAGCTCAGTATTTCCCCTTCCCCAGCACTGGAAACCACAATTTTACCAATCCCATCCAAGTGTGAAGATGGAACATTAATCCTTCTCTCAAATTTTCTTCATCTATTTTATTACTTGATGAACTTTTAAATTTCCTTTTTTAGACAGGGTCTCCCATAGTCACAGGTGGCCTGGAACCCACTATGTAGACCAGGCTGGCTTCAATCACAGAGGTTAGCCTGCCTCTGTCCAACAGGATTAAAGGCATGTTCTACAACACCCAGCTTCTCCTACATCTTAAATACCGTTATAGTGCTGCCATCAAAAGAATATGTTACCTAGGACTTATATCCATTAGAAAGTGGTTCATGCTCCCATAACATTACTGCCACTATTGTGCCATTGGCATATTTTGCCAAGCTAGTTGCTGCTGTGTCTTGCAGGACTCACAGCTGGGTTACCGTCCTCTGTCAGTAACATGCATAGCACATTCTAGGACTAGGAAAGCCAGCAGAGATGCCACTTCGAGGTCAGCGGGAACTTGATTTCTCCTTGTTTGTTCTGCATCTCATATGTGTAGTATCTTCAGCAATACTGTATTACCATCAAAGTCTGACGGTAACCAAGGGCAACAGCAATAGTCAGTATCATTTGAAGATCTGTAAGATCTCTGTGGTCAACAACTCTGAAAGAGACAGTCCATTCCAGACACTGGGCTTTTATTTCTACTCTATTAAGGCCACTGAACCCCTGCTATATGGTAAATACATTTAAACACTTTTTATATTGTCTACATATATGCTGGGAGAAGCTTCCATAGTAGGTTTCCACATGACTCTTTCAAAAGGCCTTTAGTGTTAGTTATTCCTCCTCTTACTTCTCCTTCCCTACCCTCTCATTCCCCACCTGATTAAACCCATCGTATTCGTTAGTCACTTTCCCATTTATATTGCTGCACTCTGTCTCCCTGCCCATATCCCCCACCAACCATGGCATGTTATTAGTTTCCTGACCTCCATGAGTTTCCATTTAAAACACACCTTCTAAAGATTCAAACCTAGTTTCCACTTATGAGAGAGAACATATGAAGTTTGTCTTTATGGGTCTGGGTCACCTCATTTAAGATGAATGTTTTCAGCTTCATCCATTTAACCGGGAATTTCATAATGTCATTTTTCTTAACCACTGAATAATATTCCTCTGTTGTATAAACGTACCATACTTTGATTATCCAATCATTAGCTGATGGACATCTAGGTTGTTTCCATTTCCTGGCTATTGTGAATAAGGAAGCAATGAACAGGTATCTCTGTAGTAGAATAGACTGTACTTTGGTGTATGCTCACGAATGATATGACTGGATCACGTAGAAGATCTATTTTTGGGCTTTTGAAGAACAGCCACAGTGATTTCCATAATGGCTAAAGCAGTTTTCACTCCCACTAGCAGTGAATAAGTGTTTCCCTATGTCACATCCTGCCAACATTTGTCGTCATCTCTTTTGTTGTTTGTTTGTTTTGCTTTTTTGGATCTTAGCCATTCTGACCAGGTAAGATGAAACATCAAAGTAGTTTAATTTGCATTTCCCCCATGGCGAAGATGTTTAACAATTTTTAAGCATTTCTCGGCACTTTGTGTTTCGTCATTTAAAAACTCTCTGTTAGTTCCTTGCCCTAGTTTTCAATTGGGTTTTTATGGGTTTTTTTTTAGTTATTTTTATATTCTATATACTAACCTCTGACAAATGTATAGCTGTGCTTCTTTAATTGAATAATAGTGTCTTTTGCTGTACAAAAGCTTTCTAGTTGCATGAGGTCACATTTGTCAATTGCTGGACTTAATGCCTGAGCTATCAGGGTCCTGTTCACAACATCCTTTCTTTAGTCTGTTAGTTCCAGTGTGCTTCCTACTTTCTTCTCTATCAGATTCATATATCAGGTCTTAAGTTGAGGTCCTAGATCCATTTGTAGTAGATGTTCATACAGGGTGAAAGACAGGAATCTAGTTTCATTCTTCTACATGTAGCTACTTTCACCAGTACCAGTTGTTGAAAATCGTGTCTTTTTCTCCAAGTGTGTTTTGGGCTCCTTTGTCAAAAAGCAGGCAACTATAATAATGCAGTCCCATCTGGGTCCTCAGTTCTATTCCATTGATCAATGCCTCTGTCTTCATGCCAGAACAATGCTATTCTCACTATTGATTCATAGTATAATTTCAAATCAGAGATGTAGATGCTTATCATTCAGGATTGGTTTAGTTGTCCTGGTTCACCTCACAGCAGGGAGTTCACATACATTACAGTTATCAGAGCACCAACCTGCAACTAAACAAATCACAGACCATAGGGGAGAAGCTACTCCTATCACTCTATGCAATAGACATAATATTACACTGACTTAATGACTTACTGATAGACTCAGAGATTAGTGCATTGCTCAACTCTCAAGGTTTTTCTCGCACCAGATGGCAACCAGCACAGAGACCCACAAACAGTCAACAGTCAGAGAATAAGAGACTGTGAGTCTCAGCCTTACATGGAGCACCTCTATCACATATTCTCCTCCCAAAAATCAGGAATTGTTGTTTGAGAGAGAGTTGAAAGATTTGTAAGAGCCGGACATGGTAGGTGAATACAAGAAAACAATGTATCTGGACACCGCAGGGTAGCTGAACATATGAACTTACAACACCTCTGACGGGGCAAGTGGGCAAGAAGCCCCAGATTAACTAAGGATCTACTAGCAACTGACGGATGCTGGGGCAGGGAGAGTCAGTTTTTCCTATTGGTGTGATACCTGTTAGTTTGACCAGACTCCAGGGATTGAACTGACATCCAGGAGCACTTGGGAGGCTGAAATTGGAAACAATAGCCAATTGTTTTGTTTTAAAAACAAAAATTATGACTGCAGAGATGGTGGTTAAGAGCAGTGGCTGTTCTTGCAGAGGACCAGGTTCAGTTCCCAACACCCACATGCTGGATAAGTCCTAAAAACCATATGAAACTCCAGTACCAGGGGATCTGATGCCCTCTTCTTACCTCTGGGCATTTCATGACATGAGTGTACTTACATACATGCAGGTAATACATTCATACACATAAAATTAAAATAATTAAAATATTTTTTAATTTAACAACTAAGTAAATTTTAAAATAAAAAGACATATAATAAGAGAGGAAATGAAATCAAGGAGAGCATACTGGGGAAGGGGTGCATAGGGGGAAGTAGTTTGAGTGTGATCAAAATACATTCTGGTCATCACCAATTTTTATTTAGCACATGGATGGCCTTGAGGGAATGCAGAGCTCTTATGTTCTCTCTCTTTCAGGTCTTCCAGACCTCAAGCTTCAAGAATAATTGATGTGTAACTCTGGCTTCAGCTTAAAATCTGAGTCAAATTCTTCACCTCTTGTTTCATATAATTTAAGAAAGCACTTCTGTTACAAATGTCATAGTTTCATTCATCTTCATAATCACTTATTCTATGTGAACTCCACACTCCTTTCTCCTTCCTGGTCACTTTCCCAAAATGTATGCAGCCTTCATAAATTGTTAATAAATTATGCAGCATATTTAATTCTACATTGTCTGTTACACTGTGGTAAACTCATTTGGTATAAAATCTACTTGCTCAATCGATTTCCAAATGTACAATATAGTGTCACTGTCCCACATACAGAAGACAGTGTGTTACACACATCTCTTGGAGTTACATATTCATCTTGCATACCTGAAATGTAAGACCCAGTGATTACCAACGCAATACCCCCTTCCCCAGCACTGGAAACCACAATCTTACAAACCTCATAAAGTGTGGTGATGCAGCATTGGTTTTCCCTTAAAATTTTCTTCATTTATTTTGTTAGGTAATAAGCTTGTAGATTTCTCCACATCTTAAATATTGTTAATAGTGCAGCCAGCAAGAAAGACATGTTAAGTGAGCCTTAACCCAAGTAGAAAGTGGTTAGTAGCTCCCATCATATTCGTGCCACTATTGTGCCACTGGCATCTTTCAAGTCAGTTGTTGTCCTTTGCAGGACTCAGAGCTGGATTCACTTGCTCTGTCAGCAGCATGCACAGCACATTCTAGCACTGTGAAATCCAGCCAGTGGAGGTGCAGCTTCAAGGTCAGTACCAGCTTGATTTCCCCTTGTTTGTTCTGTGGCTCAGGTGAGTAGCATCTTCAGCACGAAGGTCTTATAGTCAGCTTCCTGTGGGAATGCAGGTGCAGTGGAAGTAGTCCATATCACTTGAGGATCTCTAAGACCTCTCTGGTCAACAATTCCAAAAGAGGGAGTTCATTGCAGCCATTGGACTTTGCATTTGCTAGTCTGTGAAGGCCACTGAACACCTGTTACAGGGTAACTGTATTTAACCTTTTTATACTGCATATGTGTATGTTGAGAGACGCTTCCGTAGTAGGTTTCCACATGGCTCTTTCCAAAGCCCTTTAGTGTTAGTTATTCCTCCTCTTACTT